GTAGGGCAGGAAGGGTGATGGGGGGGGAATGGGGGAAGGCGGGTGGGGTGGGGGGAAGAGGCAGTGGGGAAGGAAGGGGGTAGGACAGGGCGGGGGAGGTGGGTGTGAGGGGATGGGGATAGAGGTAGGGGACAGTGGGGAGAGGAATGGGGAGGGGGCAAGGGGCATTAGGGAATGGGGATGGGGTGGGGAAGAGAAGGGGATAGAGGAAGCAGGAGCCCAGCATCTGGCGTCCCCTTGGCAGCAGTTGCAGCTGGGGCTCCCTTGTTAAGCAGGCCCATCGAACCCCCCACCCAACTGGCCCCACCTCCCCTGCACCTGGACAATCCTGATGAGCCCCCCAGACCTTCATGCCAATGAGCCCCAACCAGCTGCACCCGGATCCAACTGATGAGCCCTATCCCCCCCGACCCCCCCCCCACCTGAGCCCCAACCACATTCACTTGGATCCCCCTGTAGAGTCTTATTGCACCTGGAGCGCCCCCTGCATCCAGATCTCCTACTGAGCCGTCTGCACCCAGCTTGCTCTACACCTGGATCCCCTCCACTAAGGCCCTCTGCACTTGGATACTGCTGGGTTGAGCCTGCCTGCCCACACCTGATGTGCCTGGCATAGTGGGGCAGGGCCCTGGAGTGTTTCTGGCTCAGACCCGGCCCTTGCACTGTGTCAGGGTCAGGTGAAGCCCCACCGCCAAGTTGCTGTCCCAGGGAAGGGGAGCTGCAGTGTGATCTCCCACCTCCATATGGCCCGTGCTCCCCACTGCCATGCTGGAGCCTCCACATTTATTTATTAACAAATAAAATTTGCTGAATTTTAAAATATTGTGCCAAAAAATTAAAAATTCTGCGCCCAGAATTCCCTCAACAGTAACTGATTTTACAGGCATGCGCATATATGCCTTAGGTCAAAGTCGAGCTTTAGTGGGGCTACTCATGTACCTAGTTAAACATGTGCTTTGCTGAAATTGGGCCTTAGTGCAGATGTTTTCTCTATGTGGCCTTAGACCCAGAAAATATCCCAGAAGAATTGTCTGGTTAGGTGCAGCACTGAAAATGTTGTATTAATATTTACTTATATATGTTAGGTACTTCTAAGACACCAGTTGTGGTGGTACCTAAACATCATGTAAGAATCAAGAAGCAGTAAATATATCTTTAAAAGGGCTGTAATCTCTTCTTGCCTCTTCCTCTCTCCAAGCATAGCCTTCTTGGGGAATATTTTTTTAAATCCATCCATCCTTCCTCTTTCTCAAAGTTTTTCTTCTTGTCTTCTTATCTTTTGTTTTCCCTCTTGTCCCTTATGAAGAACATTCATCTGTGCTTGTTTCAAGTGTGTGATCATGTCTGCCATCCATTTAAACATTTCAATATTTCAGTAGCTTTCTTGTTGCTCAGGTGTTGTGGAAGACTGTCTAATCAAACTCTTTTTTTTCTTTTTCTTCCAGGTTCTGCCCAGTTGCAGTTCAATGTAATCAAGTCTGTTGAACAAACCATTTGTAATAAAACAGTCATCATACCTTGCATAGTGACTAATCTAATACAGAACAATATTGGAACCATGTTTGTTAAATGGAAACTAGAAAAAAAACCATTTTTCATTTTTCGAGGATCCACAAGAACGATGGAGAGAAATGATAGTTTTTCATCTGCTGAGTTAGAATCTGAACAAAATTTAACGTCTGGCATTGCATCATTAAAAATCTCAAGAACGCAAGCAGTTCAAGGAAACTACAGTTGTGAAGTGACAGAATCGAGTAGGGAAGGAGAAACTGTAATTGAACTTATATACCATAGAGGTAAGTTGATGTCATGTGATTTTGCAAGCCTGCTATGAAATGAAACAGACCAGGCCTTAAGAGAAAGGACACAAAATAACAAATGTGAAAATGAACCATTAAAAATATCTAGAACATAAAGCCCAGTCTTTACTCACCTGAGCAGTCCTTGTGAGCATAGTTATATCAAAGTCCAGGGGAATATTTCTATGAGTAAGAGTTGGGCCTGCAGGCTGGCATTGTGTCTGTTAACTTTTAGGGATGCTGACACTTTTCCACCTGATTTAGCTTTTACAGACTATATGGTATTTGTGCCACACTCATTTTAGTTTATGTATATTCTGATCCACTCTCTAGATAATAGAAATACGGGGCTGGAAGGGAACTCGAGAGGTCATGTGGTCCACAGATTCCCCTTGAGCCCCTGAGCTGAGGCAGGACCAAATATATATCTAGACCAGTGGTTTTCAAACTTTTTTCTGGCAACCCACTTGAAGAAAATTGTTGATGCCCGTGACCCAATGGAGCTGGGGATGAGGGGTTTGGGGTGTGGGAGGGGCTCAGGGCTGGGCCAGAGGGTTGGGGTGCGGGGTAGGGCTGGGAATGAGGGGTTCAGGGTGAGGGAGGGGGCTCTGGAGTAGGTCAGTGGGTTGGGGTATGGGAGGGGGTCAGGGCTCTGGGGTGAGGTGCAGGCTCTGGGGTGGGGCTGGGGGTTTGGTATACAGGAGGGGGCTCCGGGTTTGGGGAGGTCTCAGGACTGGGGCAGAGGATTGGGGTGTCGGAGGGTGTCAGGGCTCTGGGGTAGGACCAGGGATGAAGGGTTTGGGGTGCAGGAAGGGGCTCCGGATTTGGGAGGGGGGCTCATAGCTGGGACAGGGGATTGGAGCACAGGGTTGGGGCACAGGCTTACCTCGGGTGGCTTCCAGTCAGCGGCGCAGTGGGAGTGCTAACGCAGGCTTACTGCCTGTCCTGGCACCGCGGACTGCGTCTGCATCTTGGAAGCCGCCAGCAGCACCTAGGCGGAGGTGCGCAAGTGGCTCCACGTGGCTCTTGCCTGCAGGCACTGGCCCCTCCAGCGCTCAGGGTGGGGGTAGTGCGCGGAGCCCCGTGGCCCCCCTGCCTAGGAGCTGGACCTGCTACTGGCCTCTTCTGGAATGCAGCGCAGTGTCAGAACAGGTAGGGATTAGCCTGCCTTAGCCGGATAGCACCGCCAATGGGACTTTTAACAACCTGGTCGGCAGTACTGACCAGAGCCCCCGCAAACCAGTGCCTTACATGCTGCGACCCAGTGCCTTACATTCCGCAACCCACAGTTTGAAAACCACTGCTCTAGATCAGTGGTCACCAACCAGTTGAACCTGGAGCCTCTGAGCATTGATCCCAGTCTCAGTCCCCCATCTCGTCCCGCCACCTCCTTCAGCATCGCAGCCTGCTAGGGGAGTACATCCCACCCGATCGCGCTCTCAGCCAAGGAGTTGGTTGTTTTCCAGGAGCAGACACACTAACAAAGCGAACGCTGCAGGGACAGGACAGCCCAGACGCCAGATGCGCCCGCTGAACTCACAGTACAGCTGAGATGCGTCCCTGCACAAACCACAGGCTGCAATGCTGCTGGGATAGCTGCAGCACTGATTTGGTGGATGCTTCTTAGCGAGCATTGTTGCCTTTTTCTTACCCTTGAAACGTGCTTAAAGGGACAGGGAGGTGTTGAGGGGGCTAGGCTTACTGCCTTGAATTGCTGCTAGGCTCCCTCCTCTGATCCTGAAAAGGAGTCAGCAGAAAACTGCCCATCACCCACTTCCTAACCTGGGCAGGAATGCAGCACTACTGCTTCTGCACAGAACAAGTTCCAGCAACGGCAGATGGGTGCTCCCTTGCCACACCCAGCCAGAAGACACTACATCTGGGGGGACTCCCCTGCGGCTCCCCAGTCCCCACGGGCTCCCCAGCTGCTGTGGGCAGGGGTGTGAATCCCCCTCAGCTCCCCAGCCACATCCAGCAGGGAGGGAATCCCCAGTGGCTCAATAGTGGCTGGGGACGGGGAGTGAGAGGAAATCAATGTTGCCAGTCAAAGGAAGCCCCAGCTTGAGAACATCCCTGATTAAACAAGCAGCTCGAGACAGTTTAATCCACACACATGCAAGGTGCATACCAACCCCATCCCAAACAAAAGAGCAGCCTTAGCCTATCAGAGGCTGCAGGGGTTAACAACAACAGCCACCTTGGTAATTGCCACAGCATGAAATGAAATACTCCAGTCTCCTGACTGGGGCTTTGAAATACCATTAATGGAGTAGAGACTGTTTCCAGCGCAAAACCTGGTGCTACCAGCCAGGCAGGGGAACGAAATAATTGATTTGATTTCCTTCTCACTGCAAATTCAAAATGGTTTTTGACGTCAGGTCATTCATTGTCGTAACTGGAATAACAACAATTAATTTGGCTAATTTGGGATGATGAATGAGCTGTTGGGATTGACATTAATGCTGAATAAGGAAAAGGGAGAAGGAAGGGGCTGGGAAGAGGCTGCACTAACCTCAGACGGGAGGGACAGTGCCTCTGCTTTCCTGAAGAAAATCCAGTCCCTTCCTGGGGTGTTGAGCAAGGAGAGTATGTGACTGGGATGGTTAATATGTGGACAGCTGTGTGCATGTGTTTGTACCATGGTGAACTGTCTGTGGGACCGTCACAACCAGCGTGTCAGCGCTAGTGTGTCTGGGATACCTGTCAATGCTAATGGACTTGGGTTTGCACGCTGTGCACACATGGCAGGGTGCATGACTGGCCAGGAGAGGTGGGTGTGTAAGGAACAGAGGCCAGGTCTATAATAGGAGCACTTAGCTAGAAGCTAGAGCACTGCTATACTGCACGGCAGAGCGTTCTTAGCCAAACTAGCTTATCCCAGACAAACTGTGCTTTTATCAGTATCTTATCCAGCGCCTCCGAGCAAAATAAGCTATACTGGTAAACCCCATATTTGACTTCCTTCTGCTCCCAGCCCTGCTCCTATCCCTCTGCTCCACATGATCACCGCTTTCCTTCCATTGCCAGCAGACAAGTCACCTCACTTACTCTTCGTCATCTCCTTCCTCTTCCATAGGAGTCTGACTCCCCAACCCCTCACCCCCCACAATCCACCTTCCCGTCTCTGACCCTACTCCCTATCTAACCTCCCCCCAGTTCAAAGCTTCAGCAGAGCCGGTTTCCTTGTGAAGTTGATTTGGGCTTCTTTAAAATGTGGCGTGTGCTGGAGTTTCTCCTTCCTGCAGGCGGCAGACACAATGTCCCCTTGAACCTCCCCCTGCATGACAAACCAGGACAGCCTCCCTTCTCCTTTCATGGAGCCCCAGGAGAGAACGGCACAGAGACTCTAGTGATCACGAAGCGGTGTCATAGCTGTTCACATTTCTTTGGTTTTACACGTCACCAGCAGGGAGAAGGGCCATTGTAATGACCATGCAGAGCGAGTGAGGGGCTGGACAGCCAGGTCTCAGCTGAGCTCCTTTGGGCACTAGAAGATGCGTTGATATCATAGGCAACTTTGTCATTTGCTAGGAAGTGCCTTCTCCTCCTGCCCCATTACCTTTGGGTTAGGGCTTCCCCTTCCCTGTGCTGCTGGCTGTCTCCTGCTGCCTCTTACCCACTTATCCCCCAGTTTTTGCTACTACTTCTTGCCTCCCGCCTTCTCCTGGAACCCCTCTACTTTTCATCCTTTCTGCTGCTGCCTCAACCCCAGTTTGATGTTCCTGCCTCTTTTATCCAGCCTACCCTTGCCCTTTCATCCTTTTGCTGTTGCTTCCTCCCACTCTTTTCTGCCACTGCTATCAATTTGTTGCCTCCTCCTCCTGCTGCTGCTACCCCGGCCGTTGCCTCCTCCCCTCCTGACTACCTGGTGATCTTGTTCGGGAAGACTGCTGGTGCTCAGGGGGCTAAGCTGGGATCCCATGAGAAAGAGCTGGTCCAGCTGCTGTGGAAAGTGGTGGATCTGGCCCACAAGGAGGTATTTCTCGGAGAACTGTCCCTCCCCCGCCCTCAGGAGGGGAGGCAAGGCTGCTGGCATGGATTTCCCATGTGCATTCAGCAGGGAGCTCCCTGGTGGGGGATTAAAACAATCAGCTAAGGGGAGTTGGGGCTGGTGGAAAAAAATGTCCCTGGAACCTAACTCCCCCATTTACATTAATTCTTATGGGGAAATTGGATTCACTTAACATCGTTTCGCTTAAAGTCGCATTTTTCAGGAACATAACTACAGCGTTAAGTGAGGAGTTACTGTAAAAAGGGGAATTTAGAAAAGCACCACAAAACAATGCATAGCAAATTCAAGAACAGTTTCCCCTTGAATAGCGCACTCTGTACGAAGAAAGTTAATGAATTGAAGGCTGTTTTGAAAGCTCAACAGTCATGTTTTACTAAACCAGCAGCAAAAGGGAAGGCCTCTACTGAAGCATCATTTTGTGTTTGCCATCTGCTGGCAAAACACAAGAAATCGTTTATGGATGGAGAAGTATTTAAAGAGGCAATGACTGTGGCAGCAGACTCCTTATTTAAAGACTTTAAAAACAAAGAGGAAATAATGACAGCAATCCAGAGCATATCACTTGGTGCTTCCACAGTAGCAAGACGGGTGGAATCTTTGTCTGAAGATGTCTTTCAGCAACTATAGCAAGATTTGAATGACTGCGAATGCATTTCACTGCAGTCTGATGAATTGGTTGGCATGACTGACACAGCCCAGGTAGTTGTTTTTGTTCGAATGGTTTTTAAGGATGCGACAACTAAAGAGGACCTTCTGACTGTTTTGCCCCTTAAAGAGAGAACAAGAGGTGAAGATATCTACAATGAATTCAAAAAGTACATGCTTGAGAAAATCATTCCAATCAAGAAACTTGTTTCGATCACAATGGATGGTGAACCCGCCATGCTTGGCGCACGTGCAGGCTTTGTTGCATTTTGCAGAAATGATCCAGATTTTCCTTCATTTGTGAATTACCACTGTATAATCCATCAACAAGCACTAGCGAGTAAAGTTATGGACTTCTCACATGTAATGAAAATCATTGTCAGAATTGTAAACTCAATTCAAGCAAGAACCCTCCAGCATCGCCTGTTTAAATCTTTACTTGACTAAGTGGACGCTGCTTACGGTGAGCTGCTCCTCCATGCAGATGTGAGATGGTTAAGGAGGGGGGAAAGTACTGCAAAATTTTTTGGATCTAATGCTCGAAATCATCACTTTTCTAAAATCAAGGAACGAAGTGTGCAGTGAGCTGTCAGACAATGCATGGCTGCTAGACTTACTAACATAACTTCCAAATTGAATGAGCTGAACTGTGAACTGCAGGGAAAGGACAGAAACTATTCACATATGATCAGTGCGGTGAATGCATTCAAATTGAAAGTGGGTCTGTGGTCCTTCCAGTTAAAGAATAAAATGCTGCAGCACTTCCCAAGTATGGAGAAAATACTAGAAAAAATTGAAGGCAAAGAAAAATGGTTCCACCCAGAAAAGTTCTGTGCACAGCTGACCAAATTAGCAGAGAAATTCAACAGGTGATTTCAAGACTTACACATGATGATTGGCTCCATCACGTCTATCTCAAATCTGTTCCTTCCAGCAAGCATTTGTAGATTGACTGTGACATTCCATAAGGTGTTTGATTTACAAAGTAGTGGAATTGATATGAAGCTAATTACCATGTAAAGTGACATTGAGCTGAAAGCCAGATCAAGGGACAGCGATTTTTTGGGACTTGCAAACTGAGAAAAGTATCCCCTTCTATTGTCCTGCGCTTAAAAGCAAAAGCTTACTTTGGTTCCACCTATTTGTGTGAGATGGTGTTTTCACAAATGAAGATTATCAAATCCAAGTATCGCATCTGCCTCACAGATGCACATCTGCTGGACTGCTCCAACTAGCTATTTCAAATTACAAACCAAATTTCAAGACACTGGTAGGTAATGTGCAGTCACACGTGTCACACTGAGACTCAGTAAGCAGGGAAAATGTATAATTATGTATATTAAGCAATTGATCTCAGCTTTATTTAACATACTGTTAAACTGTTATTTCTACATTTTCTTTGAGGTAAATCCTGGGTTGTACTTACATTTCAAAGGTGACCTTGTGCTTAAAAAGGTTGAAGACAACTGCTTTAGACCATCCCTGACAAGTGTTTGTCTAACCTGTTCTTTAAAACTTCCAATGACTGGGATTCGACAACCTCTCTTGAAAGCTTATTCCGGTACTTAAATATCTTTACAGTTAGAAAGTTTTTCCTAAATCACCCTTGCTGCAGATTAAACAGATGACTTCTTGTCCACCTTCAGGGTACATGGAGAACAATTGATTACTTTCCTCTTCATAACACATTTGAAAACTATGATCAGGCCCTTCTGTCTTCAGACTTCTACAGTATTGAGGTTCATACACTACACATGTTATATTCATTGCAGAGACCTTAAGTTTGAAAGTCCTGCATTTGTTACTCATTCAAAACTCCCATTAATTTCATCTGCAGTTTTGCCACTGTATGAACTTCAATATTTGGTCCAGAGTTATGTAATTTTTGTGGGGATTGGAGGTGTTAATGCTATAGCATAAGCTATTAGTGAAGCCCACTTAATGTCAACTAATTTAATGGAAAATGCTGTTTAAAGCATTTTCTGTACATCATGTTTAACATTCAATTATGCTGTTTTAATATCAATTGGCATTAAAACTATTTCCCAGTTAATATCAATCGGCATTACTGTTCTGCTGCTCCAAATAGCACTTAACTGAAAAACCACTACCGCCACCTGTAACAATTACAGTTAACTGCATGTATCCTGTAGAACACAACTACAGGGGAAGAGCGACTAGTTCCCTGCTACTTTTGCTCTGCTTCTCAGACCTTCACACTCCTTCACTCCTGGGATGCAGAGTCACCTCTCTAGCCTCTTTAAATGATAAATGTTCTGCCAGGGGCTCAGAGGAGAGAAGTAGCTTCAGACAGCCTCCAGTTGCACTCCACCAGACCTCAGTGACTGCAAAGAATTGTGGAGTGCGATGGGTCACAGCATAACTTTTTTGACTTTTGAATTGTTGACCAGAAAAGATAGAGGATCGCTGCTATAGAACTGTTATCTTTATGTGTGAAACATTGATATACAAACATTGAATTTGTTAGTGGTCATACATTTTTCTTTGTTTAGCAGCATGGTTTTGAAAGAAGCATAAAGCCTGGGTATTGGGAACAGGAACTGGATTTGGCTTCCATGATTTCATTTTCCACTGTCAAAGTTCTTTTGGCTATGATTTTTTTTTTTTTTTGAAAGACATAGTAGCCCTGTCCCTGACGGTGGACATTTTAATGGGCAGCCCTGGTGTGCATTTGTGGGGCAAAGTGGGAAGGCAGATAAATTGGAATGGCTTCTGAGATCCACTAGCCTGTGTGCTTGGCTACATGGAAAAGACAAAGTCCAATATTTCTTGGCAGAGAGATTGTGTGGAACAATACGTTATTAAATACGTGTATTTCATCACTCTCCCTACTGTACTGCTCTCCACAAAAATCCCAAGGTGTATCACTTGTGATTGTGACACTGCCATATGGTCATTGATCAAACAGAGGACCCTCAATAAAACCACCTACTAAGTCAGTCCTCTTACTGCGACAGGGAAGTTGATATATTTCCCCTGTTCCCCACAAACTCCCCAAGTCCTTGAACCCTTTTGTGATTTCCTCATCGTGGCCCTGCTCCTAGCATCCTTCCCCATACCTCCAGGAACATCAGGCCCCAAGCATGCTACTATCCTATTTCCATGCAGCAGTGATTCTGGCAACACCAAACTGGCATACATGTGAAGTGCTGAGCATCCTGCTAACCATGAGGAGTCCAATGCATGGTGTCAAGAGTGTGGCAGCTTGTCTCACCACAAAATGGTGATGTAGTTGTACTTAACACTTTGCTTCCGGGGCTGGGATTATGGCTGTTGAGTTGTGTGGTCAGGGATGTGTGTGAGCAATGTAAATCTAGCTGAAGGTGTGAACTTTTAGCAGTAGTAGCTGAAAATGCAAAATTCCATTGAGTGGAGAGGCAGAAATAGAGGAACAGTAGAGACAATTTAGAAAAGGTGACTTTGGTCTTTGGTGTATGAATTTAAACCAAGAAGGCTAAGTGCAGAAATGCAAGAGTTTATGCATGCCTTTTAGCAAAGTAGTGGTATTTTGGAAATTGCTGAGGCCTGTAACTGGGAGGCAACCCTTGGCATGCATGCCAGAAGGTGTCATACAAAGTCATATGACTTTTTACCTGGATAGACTCTCTTCTCCTTCTGTTCCTTGCTGTTTTGCATGTTGTGCCCATGAACAGCAGCATGCACTTGACAAAAGTATTGTAACTTTCAGTTGGCTCTGCTCCCATCCAGAGCCGTTGAGGAAGGGCTGGCAACCTGGTATGAGAGATTAGTGAGAGAAAGGCAACCAAGAGAAAGAGAGGTGAAATCAGAGCGTACTTATGAGTAGAGATCAATGCAGAAATACCAGTATGTGTGGTGGTGGTGGTAAAATGTGTGAAACAAGAACAAAAACCTTGCTAATGCCTTCCTTAGTCCAGATGTGGATAAGGAACATATATATTTCTGGAATTGGGAGTTACAGTAATTGGAACCTTGAATGAGTAGTTATAGCTTTCAAAATTTGTAGCAAAGAGAGTGTTAAGCAGTCTACAGACTAGGCTAAAACGAGCACTTAAAATTTGAAGTTATTGGGTTTATATTATATCTACCTCTCCATTCCTTTTCCCTCTTTTTGTGTCTCAATTCAGTGGCGTGGTTTACACCAGTAGAAAATATTCTCATCATACTCTCCATGGTCTTGGCTATTTTGTTTTATTGGATTCAGTTAGCCGTTACTGGTAAGTATTAAATTTTGTTTAAATTCTTTACAAATGCTGAATGTTAGTGCTAATATCATTTTCATAAATGAAGCAGCAGGGTAAAATGGAGTAACAGAAAATGGAATGTAGTGTTTTTAAAAAATCAGATGGAAAGTAGAAGCCAGATTGGGTAGCACTTTAGAAGAAGAAGGTTAAGGGGTGACTTGATTATAGTCTAGAAGTACCTCTTCGGGGAACAAATATTTAATAATGGGCTATTCAGTCTAGTTTTAAATTATGTTGGGGAAGTTCTAAGGCCTGTTATACAGTAGGTCAGGCCAGATGATCACAGTGGTCCCTTCTGGCCTTGGAATTTACTAATCTATGAGATGTCCAAGGTCACACAGGAAGTCTGTGTCTAAGCAGAGAATCGAATGCAGGTTTTCCATGTCCTTGGCTAGCATCCTAATCACCTGAACAACCAGTTCATAATGCAATTAAAAAAAAAGAAAAAAGACATGAAGACAAAGCATATCTAATTGAAATGGCAAAAGGGTTTTATGGAACTGATCCAGCTTGCAGTGAAATCAATGAAAGTTGACTTGTGCCCTGTGGTAGGCAGGAGATAAATTAATCTGTGATTAGGAATTTATCTAGGATACTGATCTCAAGTTTTATTGCTGTCAGTACAGGGAAAACTGGAAAGATGTACAACATTAAGGTGCCATTCTTCAAGGGATCCTTTTTCTGACCATGATCATAATTTAAAAGCTGTGTATTCTTGTGAATGATACTTCATTTCTAAACAAATTATCTCTCTGACTTTCCTTTTCCCTTAGTATCAAAATTTGAAACTACACTTCTGAAGATCGGCTTATTTATTGCAGGAGTTGTCATCACAATTTCTGCTGTTGTTGGTTTTAGTCTTTTAATTTCAGGTAAGTGTAATAATTATTTGTCGTCTAACAGATTAGTGGCCAGAAGTGATAAGCATACGGAAGGTTGATTTCATTGGGAAATGCGTGTTGTTAGCACCTCTGAAAATCAGGCCAGTAGTTTACTCTTCTGTGTTTTAGTTGGTAGAATACTGAATTTCTGTGCACTATCCAGGGTGGATAAAAATCAATGATTTAAAAAAAAATCAGATTTTTTTAAATTTAAATCAAATGTTTTTGATAAAATGCTTTTTGAGGAAAAAACAATTTAAAGATAGATATATTATAGCTCAAAGATATCTCATCATGGAATAGGGATGATAAATTCTAATTCTATAATATGAGACAATGTATTCATGTAATGTTTAAGAAAAGTTTTGTAAATGAGTTCCAATAGTTCATGGATTAGGGACCCAATTTTATGGGATTCCCGGGGCTTCTGTGTAGATTATTTAGGTTAATCTACCCAATGGGACTCAGTGCTCAGTCTAGAAGATACCATCAGATACTGCTTAGTTTTGCAGTTCTCAAACTGTGGATTTGTGTCTCCAGAGATAACATGCTTGTTAACGGCAAAAATGTTTTTAAATAAATAAATACTATATAGAGGTGAGAAATAACAGACCTCAACCCTATTGTCCCTCTGCAAATTTGTCTACACAGAGTCAATCCCTTACCTCTTTCTAAAAGTGCAAAGTTTCAAAAAGTTCACTGAATAGAAGATTATTGGGGGCGGAATAGATCTGGACAAGGAGAAGAAGTCTGGAGATAAATATGAGAAGGGAGGAACAGGCAATAGAAACAAAAGTGAAACTGTTTGAACAGCATATTCCAGAAGCCTTGAGGTCTTTCAGTGTGTAGCCTTCATTGATTTGAGATCTACCATACCATTCTGTTACTAGAAGGGAAAACCTATAATGGCAGCAGGCCGTAAAAGAGACCCAATTTGGGAATATTTTAATGAAGTTCCTCTACCTGTGAGTAAGACAGGCATACGTGCAAAATGCAAACAGTGCAACAAAGAAATGCAGGGCCTGGTAGCCCGAATGAAACAACATCATGAGAAGTGTTCCTTCTCAGAGGAACCTGTGTTGAAAATGATGAAAGGAACATGTCTGAACATGAAGGATTTTCAGGTTAGTAAGCTTTTTTATTTCATACTTCTTAAGGACTGACTGTCTTCCTTCTGGACTATTCTTGAATTCTCATGTTTGAGCAAAAAATACAGTTGTTACTATATGGTAACATCATTTTAGATGCAGTTGTGATAAAAAATAAATAGCTGAAATAGGCAGATCTTCCTTTTACAATTTCACCTTTAAAGTAGTACTGAGTGAACAGTAGATGAACAATATGGTAATAATTAAATAACTGCATTGATAGTGTTTGTCACCTCATGTATGTCACATAGCCACAGTATATCACTTGTAGCAAAAAGAAAAAAAATCTCCATCATCCAGAAACAACCATAGATAAGTTTGTGATAAGAACCAGCAGATTACAAAAAAAGGTAATTGATGAAAAAATTGCCCGGTTTGTTTATGCAACAAACTCTCCTTTCTGTATGATTGAGAACCGCACTTCATTAACATGGTTCAGTCATTAAGACCAGGCTACAGTCCACCCAATAGAGCAGATGTTGCAGGCAAATTGCTGGATAAAGTGTCTGAAAGAGAAATTGAGCAGTGTGCAAAAGATCTAGAGGGTAAAATTGTTAACCTGAGTCTTGATGGGTGCAGCAATGTCCACAATGATCCTGTTTTATGTGCTTGTGTGACAACAGAAGAAGGGAATGTCTTCCTTACAGAAAGAATTGATACATCAGGAAATGCGCACACATAGCAGAATACTTACAAATAGCAGCAGTAAAAGCTATAACAAACTGAAAAAAAATTCAAGTGTCTAGTACGCAGCTTGGTCACAGACAATGCTACAAATGTATCCAAGATGAGAAGAAATGATTTAGAAGAGAGTGAAGAGAGTCCCAAGCGAATAACAAATGGTTGCAGTGCTCATTTGATGCACCTCTTAGCCAAAGACTTCAGTGTTCCAGAAATAAAAGCTAATGTTGTTGAAATTCCAAAATACTTCCGTTAACAACCACTTTGCAGCAGCTGCTCTGAAAAAAGTGGGAGAAACCAAGCTAACTCTCCCACAAGACGTGTGATGGAACTCAGTAGTGGACTGTTTTGAGCACTATATCAAGAACTGGCATAATCTTATGATAGTGAACAAAATCATGAAAAAATAGATGGCACTGTCACAGCCAAAGTTCTTAACATTGGGCTTAAGAGAAATGTTGAACACATGCTGAGTATCCTGAAGCCTATTTCTGTAGCCTTGAACAAAATGCAGGGAAATAGCTGTTTTATTGCTGATGTGGTTAAAATTTGGAAGGAACTGAGTGAGATCTTAAAAAGAGAAATATGCAATGATAGAATTAAATTACAAGCATTAAAAAAACGAATGGGACAGGCACTAGCTCCAGCTCATTTTCTTGCAAATATTCTCAGTACTCGCTACCAGGGTCAGACCTTAACTGCTGAAGATGAGGGGTTGGCTGTGACATGGGCATCCAGCAATCATCCCTCCATAATGTCAACTATAATAAACTTCAGAGCTAAGCGTGAACCATTCAAGATATATATGTCTGCTGATGATGTTTTAAAGAAAGTCGCACCAGTGAACTGGTGGAAGTCACTGAAGTACTTGGATTCGGAGACTGTTGAAGTGATAATCACACTTTTAACAGCAGTAGCTTCTTTTGCCAGTGTAGAAAAAATATTTTCTTCCTTTGGACTAAATCATTCCAAATTGAGAAATCGTTTGGGACCTGAAAAAGCAGGAAAGCTTGTTTTTCTTTTCCAGATTATGAACAAACAGGAAAATGAAGGTGAAGATGACTGAGTTAGCTGCAGAAGTCAATATTTTAAGTTTCTCATGTTGACTTGGCTGACATAGTCGATTTAATTTTTTTTTTTAATATTTCATTTAACTATTTTAGTTAAACAATTTTAACAAAAACAAACCTGATTTTAAAAACTTGACTGTTTAACTAAATTCAAAAATTCATATGCTTGTTTGTTAAAATATTATATGTTTGCTGTTGAAGAAAAAAAGTACCAGAATACATAACGTTGTTTTAGTTAAATAAAACAAT